TCTCTTCAGAAGGTTCTTTAGGAAGTCTAGACAGTCCCTCTGGTAGTGTCCATGCTTCTTGCACTATTTGCACTGATCATTTTTAACTTGAGCATTGTTGTTCTTCTGATGTTACTCAGTCTGAGAGGATTTTTCTTGAGGTTTGACATTCTTATCGAAGTTATTTTTCTTGTCCTTCACAATGTTAGCAAAGTCACCCTGTAAGAACTTCAGGCTTTCCTCTTCTTGAACACACATTGCGATGAGCTTCTCTATTTCCCACTTGTCGGGCTGCATATTGTAGTTAACAACAAAGGTTTCATATTCCTTTGGCATGGAAGCAAAAACCAAATGAATCAGGAACTCATCCTTGAGCTCCAAATCCATTAGCTTCAGCTTCGAAGCCGTGTTGCTCATCTTCAAAATGTGCTCTCTGATATCGCCACCAGTATATTTTTTATTAAACAATTTCTTGATCAATGTACTAGCATAAGCCTTTGAAGAGCCAGTGAACTAACTCTCCACCTTCTTTAGGTACTCTGTGGTGGTATCACAGTCTAGGATAGACCCCCTTATAGTATCTGAGATTGTGGACTTAGCCGCCATCAAGCACTTGTGGTTTGATATGTCCTATTTCTTGCGCTCGAGATCATACTTCATGCGCACTTCTGCATGATCTCGCTGTCGAGCAGTGAAATCAGCATCTGACTCATTTTCTTCCCTCACCGGGTCCACTAGCTCAGTAGGACACGGGAGGTGAGCGCTAAATCATTCTCAGACAGCGTAAGTGTGAGCTCGTACTTCTCTCGCCATACTCTGTAATTGCCCCTTCTAGAGGTGGTATGTGCGAGATAAATGCCATTGGGTTGAGTCCTGAAAAACACTGTCAGAGATAGTGAGAAAATATGACATTATAATTACATGCTTTAATCTAACGTTGGTCAAAATTAAAACATACAATATTCTTATACACTAATTCTACATCACCGTTGGGCAGAAATAGAATTAATGCATGAAAAACTTATGATTAAACATTATAATATTGTTATTATCAACATTGGTCAGAAAAATAACAATATTATAATTTACTGATTAGAAATTGACTACTCTTCAAATTAAATTCTCCCGTTGGTTCGAATTTAATTAGAAGATTATAGACTTTAATATTGCAGCGGAAACATGAATAAATAATAATTATCTACTTTTCAGAAGTATTTTCTTGTTCATATCTACTTTTTGGAAAAAAAAGTAACACGTTTGTGTAATTTTACCAGAAATTTTAAAGCTTCGAAATTCATCAAAATTCATTCAAATCTGCTTCTGAAAATTAAATTAACTTCAAAAGGTATTTACTGTTCTTTCTGGCCCGGCCTGCGGCAGCAATATGCGCGCGCCCTCGCGGCACCTCCCCCGCACCTAGGCCGCAACCTGGGCCTGGGCCAGCAAAGTCGCCCGCCGCGCTCGTCCGCCTGGGCCGATTTCGGCCCGATGACGTTCCAGTCGCCGGATCAGATTCGACGGCCGTTCGCGTGCATCGCTCTATCAAAATGGCGACGGCAGCTGCTCCCCTGAAACCCTAACGCCATTCTATTCTTTCCTCTCTCTCTCTCTTCGCCGAGCTCCTTTCTTCTCCCCTCAGCGCAGCGAAGACGAGAGCGAGCGGTGATGGCGCCGTCGTCGGTCCCCTCGCCGGCGTGTGCACTCCCCAGCGGGTGAGCATGCCGCCGTCGAGCGGTCTGGGTGGCGGTGCGCTGATCCCCACGCGGGCTGCGGTGAGGAGCTTTCAAAAACCCTAGATCTGACCCAGCCGCTTCTCCATCTCTCTCTGCCCAACGAGCAGCAGAGGCGACCGAGCGAAGGGAGAGACTATGGCGCCGTTGCTGGCCCCCTCTCCGACGCACGCGCTCCCCACGCGGGTGAGCGCGCCGCCGTCGAGTGGACTAGCGACGGCGCCCTTGGCTGGAGCTCGCACTCCACTCACCTGACGAGCAACGGCTCGACCGTCTTCCCGCGCACCGACGAAAACAGCAGCGCGGTGCAACAGCGAGGTAAGCCATCTTCTAAAGCCCTTCCCCTTTCCCCTTCTTCTCTTTGAATGGATGTTTCTTTCTTTTCTTCTCGGATCTATCCGATTTAGGGTTGGGGATGGGGTTAGGATCGAGATTAGGGTTAGGGTTCCCTTACTGTTCATCTTCCCCGAGCAGTTCACGCGGGTTAGGGTTAGGGTTTGAGTTGATTTTCAAAACCCGAGGTCCTCCTTCACTTCTTTTCTTCCCCGATTTAGGGTTTAGAGTTCGATGAACCCTCAGTTTAGATCCGAAAATAAATCTATCACCTCCTTCTAAATGCTTCTACTCAGTTTTCTTATTCGATAGGCTAGATCTACACCTAGTTAGGCATCTGATACAATTGATAGACCTAATACAGGATCACTAGCCATAGATCTAGCGTGTGTACGTATATTTGGAGTAAACAGTGAGTCCTAAAACATCTACCAGTGCATGATTAATAGATAGAGTGAGAGAGAGGGGTGAAGGGGGTGCAAACCATCGACCGCCTTCGAGGAAGACGGGCTCGCCATCGCTGTGCCTAGGGAAGACCCGGTGGCGGTGCTGAGTCGAAGGGCGTCGGTGCAGTGGCGGCGCTTCCCGTTGCTGGCAGCGCCCCCTCTGTGATCGGTTATGGTTTAGGACTGTAGGTGGGGTGCTAGATGGCTCAGGCAAACCTCATGCTCGGCGCCCCGATCCCCACCTCCTATTTATGGCGCTGTGCGATGGGTCCCACCAACCATATTAAGGTTGGATGCCCCCGATCAGAACACAGATCCAAAAGTCAAGGGCCAATTGGTGAAGATCAACTAACACTGCCAATTCAGCGACCATTCTGCAAACTTGGCAAATTCAAACAGCTGGTGGTTTACGACTGAACATCAGGCACAGCAAAAAGACTGGGCTTTCGGAGCCGGTGCAGCAATGAGAAATCCAGGAGACGGACGAAGCACCAGCAAAAGACCATGCCACAGGCGGCACTCTGTTTTGTAGGGTTAATAGATCGATTATTTATTAAGACTGAAATCGCGAGTCCAAGAAACGCTTTTCTCTCATGAAAAAAATGAAACGAAATGATGTCGCTCGGCAGTGTGGTACAGGCAGCCTCGGGCGGGCAGCCGGATTATCTGGAAAGACACGCGGCGAGTCGGTCGGCGGGCAGGATATGGACGATGGAGTTCACCCATACCGTGTGCGAGAGACTGCGTGTGGCGTGTGGCGTGTTCTTGGACGGAAAGCTGCCCGTGGGGCGTGGGTGGACGCGCCCGCGGGTTGCCGCGGCACGCAGGAAGGGAGGCTCGCCTGGTGCGGGACGGTTTCGCCGCCTACCCCGGCCCGCACCGGCGTCCGGGCGGCTGGTGCGGCCCGCCGACTGCCGTGCTGGACGCGGTCGGTCGCAGCCCATCGCGCGTGCTGCGCCGTGACACGGACGCCACGACACAGGCCGGGGAGGCTTCGGTTTCAGAGGCATCTTGCGAGCGCGACGCCACATTGTTTATTGGCAATGTATCAAGTGCAAACCAACCTCTCCATATAAACCGTGCAAACCAATTACGGGGGAGAGGTGGGAGGGGGGATTTCCAAAAGTGTAATTAGGAGCGGGCGTAATTACACTTTTGCAAATCCCTCCTCCCACCTCTCCTCCGCAGTTGGTTTGCACGAAGAGGTTGGTTTGCACTAGATATGTTCCCTTTTTTATTCCTTGCCCGTTGCCCTACGCTTCGCGCTGCCGAGAGCAGAACCCGGCCGCGGCACGCAGGCAGTTCGCACGCTGTTTTGGCACCGGTTCCACGGGGAGACGACCCCGCACCGCACCTGCTGCGTACGGAGCAGACGGCAGAGCGGGCGAGTCTGTGGGTCGCTCGTAGGTGTAATGAACGAAACCCGGAACGAGATAGATACAGAGATGTCTCGGTCTCGGTCTCGGTGCGTTAGCTTAGGCTTCTGAATTAGTGCTAAGCCCAGCGAGAGTGGATACAACACAAGAAGTTTCCTCTTTTATTTACCGACTTCCGGCACTGACTGAAGTGTCAACAAAAATCTGGTGCCGCGATGTGAAACGTGCAGAGGACAACGAACTCGTGCTGACCGGAAAATTCAACGCAGAAGCGTATGTATATATGTCAAAAACGTACTAGTACTAGTACATCCTGTACGCACATGTCCGGTCTTTACATATGGTTTGCCCGTTCCTTACAGGTTCTGTTTGTTTTTTCCAGGAGTAGAAACTCTCTACTGGTACACGTTCACGGGTCAAAACTCAAAAGCCTTAATTTGACCTTTTGCAAATAGCCAGAGAGCTTGTTTTCCTTTTTTCTTTTGAACCACGGTCAGATCCTGTCTTTATTTTCATGCTATTATTTTCTTTCTTGTTTTTGGGTGATGCGAGGAGCCAAGTGGGACCATGGACAAAACGTAAAAAATGATCCGTTCTTCTTGAGCAAGTTAACTTCGACTCTCACCAATACGTGTTTTGCAGACATGGATTGATCTGCTGCTTCTTTTATAAGGGGGGCAATGGAATCAGATCGTCGTCCATCAATCGAACCAAGCAATGCCATTTTTACCTCCCACGGCGTCAAATCAAACGAGAGCTCGCAGTGGGGACAAACTCATCGCAAAAACAGCACCACCGCTGATCTTTCGCCTGCGCTCTAGATAGAGAGGGCCGTCTTACGACGCAAGCAGTCGTCGAAAATGGAAAGTTTTTTTTCCCCCAGACGAAAAGTGGCCTGCTGCTATTGCTAGTATAGCCCTGGGTCGTCTCTCCTCGTCACGCCGCATACACATGCATCAGGACGCGGAGTTTTCTTTCTTTGCCTGGGCCAGCCGGTGCATAAATACCGGTGCGCTACCCCCGCCACAAACACACACAACACACAAGCCCCTGCAACTGCAAGTCGTCTTCTTCCCCAAGCCTAAACCCAAGAACGAAAACAGGTTGGCAGATCGCTTGATCGATCGATCGCAACCATGGTGCTCTCCAAGGCCGTGTCCGAGAGTGACATGTCCGTGCACTCCACGTTCGCGTCGCGCTACGTCCGGTCGTCTCTCCCAAGGTATGCACCCATTCCCCCTCTCCCCTTTGCAGCTGTTCATTCTTGCGATTGGACCGGCTGGTTACTCTGTCTCGCACCAATTTGTTCTTGCCGGCGTTTGTGCTGGAACGAACGACCGATTTATCTGCAGCTGGCTTTGAGCAATGGCAGTTCATGCCGAATTAATGCTGAGTTTTGGTGGGTGCGCGCCCGCAGGTATCGCATGCCGGAGAACTCGATCCCCAAGGAGGCGGCGTACCAGATCATCAACGACGAGCTGATGCTCGACGGGAACCCGCGCCTGAACCTGGCGTCCTTCGTCACCACCTGGATGGAGCCCGAGTGCGACAAGCTCATCATGGCCGCCATCAACAAGAACTACGTCGACATGGACGAGTACCCCGTCACCACCGAGCTCCAGGTACATCACCCGGCCTCAGCAATCTTTTCACTCTGTCCCTCGCCTATCGTGCTCTCAGATCGGAGAGACGGTTCTTGGTCGGCGGAGGTTGGCTGACCTGACCATGCCGGGGGCCCGCCATGCTGGCACAATTGTTTAGTTTTTCTTTTTTTTTCTTTTTGAGCAAAAAAGGCACAATTGTTTAGGTTGGGGATAGGAAGCTGCCACTTGCCGGGCCCCAAGTTCCACTTGTTTTTTCCCGGTGCAGCCCGCGAGTTTTCTGTTCATCAGTTCATGCCAATAGCCATGATCGTCACTCATGGCGCTCGTGGGAGTGGGAACTTTGTTTTGCCTGAAAATCAAATATAAGATCTGCGATTTATACCTTGGGCCGCGTCATTGCGGCAATCACTGAGATTTTGTGTTCTTCTCTCTCTTCTGACACCCGACCGCGCCGACATTGCGTTGCAGAACCGGTGCGTGAACATGATCGCGCATCTCTTCAACGCGCCGCTGGGCGAGTCCGAGACGGCGGTGGGCGTCGGCACGGTGGGCTCGTCGGAGGCCATCATGCTGGCCGGGCTGGCCTTCAAGCGCAGGTGGCAGAACAAGCGCAGGGCCGAGGGCAAGCCGTTTGACAAGCCCAACATCGTCACCGGCGCCAACGTCCAGGTAATTCCTTCAAAAAAAAATTATTGCCTCGCGGGACCAGCATCAGCTACAGAGTTGCGTTATCCCAACAAGGCAACAAGACGACGAATCGGCTCTCTCTAACCCATCGCAATCACCTGCTTGATGAATCTTAATTAAAAACCTGCAGGTTTGCTGGGAAAAGTTCGCGAGGTACTTCGAGGTGGAGCTGCGGGAGGTGAAGCTGCGCGACGGCTACTACGTGATGGACCCCGAGAAGGCGGTGGAGGTGGTGGACGAGAACACCATCTGCGTCGCCGCGATCCTGGGCTCCACGCTCAACGGCGAGTTCGAGGACGTGAAGCTGCTCAACGACCTGCTGGAGGTGAAGAACAGGGAGACCGGGTGGGGGACGCCCATCCACGTGGACGCGGCGAGCGGCGGCTTCATCGCGCCCTTCCTGTACCCGGAGCTGGAGTGGGACTTCCGCCTGCCCTGGGTAAAGAGCATCAACGTCAGCGGCCACAAGTACGGGCTCGTCTACGCCGGCATCGGCTGGTGCATCTGGCGCAACAAGGAGGACCTGCCGGAGGAGCTCATCTTCCACATCAACTACCTCGGCGCCGACCAGCCGACCTTCACGCTCAACTTCTCCAAGGGCTCGAGCCAAGTCATCGCGCAGTACTACCAGCTCATCCGCCACGGCTTCGAGGGGTACAGGAACATCATGGAGAACTGCCACGAGAACGCCATGGTGCTCAAGGAGGGCCTGGAGAAGACGGGCCGCTTCAACATCGTGTCCAAGGACGAGGGCGTCCCGCTGGTGGCCTTCTCGCTCAAGGACCGCAGCCGGCACGACGAGTTCGAGATCTCCGACATGCTGCGCCGCTTCGGCTGGATCGTGCCGGCCTACACCATGCCCCCCGACGCGCAGCACGTCACGGTGCTCCGCGTCGTCATCCGGGAGGAGTTCAGCCGCACCCTCGCCGAGCGCCTCGTCCTCGACATCGAGAAGGTGATGTACCAGCTGGACGCGCTGCCGTCCAGGCTCCCGCCCCCTCCGCCGCCGGCACAGCTGGTTAGGAAAAAGTCGGAGCTCGAGACGCAGAGGTCGGTGACGGAGGCGTGGAAGAAGTTTGTGCTCGCCAAGAAGACCAACGGCGTCTGCTAGTGACAGTTCCACCACCAGAACATCACCATGGTCCTCGGGCGGACGGGCCTGGTGAACTACCATGCCTATTATCTCGGTGCTGATTTGAGTGAGCACTGCGATCTATTACAAATCTAGGTAGAGTCTGTTACTAATTTGCTTCCTATTTCCGTAATTTGTGCAGTTGCTGTGCACTGAGTTGCTATGTTCAAGAGCAACAGTTTTTTTTTTTCCCAAGGAAGAGAGTAACAATTGAGGCTGGTGTCCATTAATGTTCGCCATGCATATCCGATTTCTTAAGTAGTATAATATAATATAAACATATATAGTAGTTAAATCAGTCAACTGGAAATTGGAGATTCATCTTGTTTGACGTGACTGAGCGTTTCCAAGAGCCTCTCAGCATTGCTTTTTTATCAAAAAAATTTAAAAACAACAAAAATAATTAGGAACTGATAAGATTTCTCAAACCAACCTTTATCTTTTTCGTCCTCCAAAATACGCATTCTCGTTCTTTTCCACTCTCCACAACAACCATTCTCACTCTTTTCTACTTTCCAAAACAACCATTCTGACTCTCTAGTTTCCGATCTCCAAAACAACCATTCTCGCTCTCCAATAAGCTCTTTAAGTCCAATATATGGTAGTTCTCTCATGTTTTTTCACACAAGGAAAAATCTGATAAGCCTTTGTAGTATAGAGAACAAAACCTAGAGAGTTTGTTGGAGACATGACAGATATGTAAAAAGATATTCATGGAATGGTTGTCCAAATAGAGACATAGAGATTTAAGTTTAGAGAGACTCTTGGAGTTGCTTAAGCATATCCGAGGAACTCTTTACATGGCTCTTTATCACAAATTTAGAAAACAAATAAAAAACTAGGCTCCAAAAGACTCTCTTAACAACTCTCCATCTCTTTCGCTATCTAAAACCACCCTTTCCGCTCTCTACGAACGGAGAGGCTATATCTCTCTAAAATCAAGATATAGTAGTTTTCTAATGATTTTTTCATATAAAGGAGATTATGATAAACCATTGAAGTATAGAAAACGAAACTTACATAGTCTTTTGGAGACATGAGAGATATAGGGAGAACAATTATGAGACGGTTTTCTAAATATAGACACACAGGTGGGATTTTAGAGGGGCTCTTGGAGTTGAGTTGTCACCTTTAATGATTTTAAGTTTTAAGAAAAAGTTGCACAGTACTAACATAAAATTTCAACTAAAAATTACATAATGATGACATTTGAGCAATTTGAAACACTACAAGTACCTTTAAAATTGTGGAAATACTCGGACGCGAGCGTTTGTCTGCTCGCGTCGGTTCGAACGCGGCTTTGACTCCGCCTCGCCCGTCTCTCTATCTCTCCGCTCCCTCTCGCCCTCCACATCTCCAAGGTCTCTCTCTCATGTCCGCCAGTAGCAGCAGAGCCTCGCGCGCGCCACCGCTGCCTCCTTCCTCCACCCAAGCCGATCGTGTCGTCTCCTCCGTCAGTTCATGCAGTGCCTCCTTGACCTCTTCCCTAACCCAGCGCTATCAGGATGCGTCGCCATCGTGGGCCACCGCCGCTGCCCCTGCCGATGGCGGCACCTGCGCCTCAGGTCGTCTCCAGTCGAGCCAAGGGGCACCCACGAGCACGACCGGTGCTGGTGGTGCTCGCACGCCGCCGGCTCCCACCATGACGGCGTGAATCGACCGATCTCGTTGTCCCCTCTATGTTGTAAACGTATGTTTCAATTGTTGCAGATATTTCAGAGGTATGTTGCAAACGTTTCGTATAGATATTGTAAAAGTCGATCGGGATATTGCATAAGTTGCAATAGCTATACACATATGTTGCAAGCGTCTGTTTCAAATGTTTCATCTGTTTTTTGACGTATGTTGCAAGTGTTTTTATTTGGATGTTACGTATGTTTCAAACATATGTTTACAAGTGTTTTTGTTAGGATGTTGAATATGTGTTGAAATGGCTTTTTAAGTGTTTTTAGGTGTTTTTGCAAGCGTAACACCCTCGGTGTTACATTGTACAACTTTTTGCTAAAACACTGCATGAACATTTTACTTGTGCGTATATGTATGTAATATAGGGTATAAATCAATATATGGAACTGGAAACGTTCATTTGAAACACGAAATGAATGTTACATTGTATGTCACGTTGTATCACTTGGTGTTCTAAACGAATTTTTATTAAATGAAAAGGCTATAGAACGCACATGAGAAACTTTGATAAAGTTCATAGTACAAACTTTGTAAGTGACGATGAAATACTCACGGTCGAGAACGGGATTCGCTAGCTAGTGTATCGAATGGCTTGGAAATCAAATTCGACGCGAATCCGAATCGTGTTTTGGTTGAAGTTCCTAAGTCGAGAAATGGGTCGACGAAGCCGTGTTCGACAATTTGTGTAGAAAGATCGGATTAGGTAGTGGCATGGTTTTGGGGTTTCTTTTAGTAGCCTGATATACCAGCTAGAGCGTAAAATAGGTGGTGTAGCTACTGGATCATCGAGTTAGCTTTTTGGAACAGCTTTAAAATGCGTGCAAGGCACGCTTTTGGATTGGTGCTAGCGCCGCGGTCCCCGTGGTGTGGCCGGCGTCGCCGCACGCATCACGCGCGCGCGCTGGGGTCCCGCGGGCCTGGCTGCTCATTCACCTCCATCGCGTCCGCCTGAGCCCGCTGCTCGCCGTCGCGTCGAGCTATACCCTGGTCGCGTTGTGTTACGTCCGGCGCTATCGCGCGGCTACTGCTCCCGTTGATGTTTCGGCCGCACGCGTGTGGGCTTGCCCTCGCTTTCACGTTTACGCGCAAGGCCACGCCAAGTTTCCCGTCACGTCGTCTAGAAGGTTGCTGGCTGGCCGAGTTGCGCCAAGGCCAAACCATTGAGCTGGCCCATCCTTGTTACCGCGCACGTTTGGAGGACGGATGGGAGTACAGCTTCGTGCCTAACCCGCCACTGTTGCGGTAGTACAATGTCGGGGCGTCGATTCAAGTTTTCGCCATCGTCGGCCGCCATAAGTTCCGAACGGCGTCGTCCAAGCATTTGGCCTTACGTACTCTACATCTTTCCAATTAACCGTGCACACATCGAGCTCGGGTAGTTAGCTTCCGATCGGAGTCGTCCCGACGAGCATTCGTCCTACGGTGAGGTTGTACGGGGCGTTCCCCTCGCGGCTCTGGGTGACCTCCAGCGCGGTCTAGGCGGGGTTAGCCGGCCCATCCACATCATCGCGCCCTTCTGCGCTGAGCCAGTAGCAGCGCCGCGAACAGCACACCGGCGTGCTCTGTTCCCCGGCAACCACCACCGCACCATGCTCACGCAAGCTAGTAGTCGGCGGTGCGTGCCCTCTCTTAGCTTGTTGACATCATCCTGACATCATCCCTGCATCACACCCAATATAGGGCCGCTTTCTTGTAGGAAAATAAATCCCTGAATACATTAGACATACGCCCACCTTAAGTGCTATGTTGGGCCGCGGCCTATGCAGCCGCACTGGGCTAGCTCGCGTCCGCACAGCCGCACGGGGCCAGCTTGTGTCCGCGCCGCCGCGCTGGGCCAGCTCGTGTGCCGCTCCCGCCTGGGCCGCTCGCGCGTGCACCCCGCCTTGCTGGGCCGGTCTATGGCCGCCGTGTGGGCCGCGCTGGTGTGCGCGCGCGGGTCGCGGTAGTGGGCCGAGCCGCGTCGCGAGTTGATCCACGTTGGAGAATACGTTTTCCAATTTTCCAGTGAATTATAAATATTTATTCAATATAGTTTTTAGCTACACTTTGATAAATTGTAGTAAATCTTGTAGATGTCCAAAAATAGGGAAACCAAGTTTGTTAGGTTCACAAAAATACCATTTATCTGTTAGTGTAGTTGGTTTACAGTTAGCTGTGATAGTGATGGGCTCATAAATCCAAACTACAGAGCTTAGTATTATGTAGATTAATATTTGTAGAATTTTTTGTGGAAAATTGGTGATAGCTATCGCTATGAAAATTTTACAGTAGGCTCACTAGATTATTATATACTTGCTGTAAATTTTGTAGCCCTAAAATAAGTTGATAAATAGAGTAGCTATTATCCTTGTTTTATCATATATAGATTAAATCGGTATTAGAAGTAACAATACCTTTAGTTGCTGTGATAATGTATGTCATGCTTTGTACTTGTTAGTGGTAACAGTAGGTAACTTAATACCTTAGCCGGTAACACTAGCTAGTAGTTAGACAGATGCATTTTTATGTTAGGAGTTGCTATTGCTATATTACTAAGTATTGCATCATCATTTCATGCATGTAGATCACGAGTTAGTAGAGTTCGTGCCCGTGGACGAACAGGAGTACGAGGAAGTCATTGAGGAGTACGAGGAGGAAGCTCCGGAGCCTTTTGGTGCTGACTTTGCTGACCCGTCGTCTGCCCAAGGCAAGCTCGGTGCATAACCCCTATTTTAATGATCACCGAATATATATTTATGATGTGCATTTACGTTACAAACATTTTATGGAAACTACATGCATGAATATATCTACCTATAAGTCCTACTAGTACAGGTCGAGTAGCTGCTATGCTCAGAATTTCGGTAGTGTTGGTAACCTGTTGTTACTCACAAATAGGTGATAATTATGATCACTCAAGATAAATGATGGAAAGAAAAAATAGCGACCGGGCAGGGATATGGTTTGGGTAGGTTGTGTCCTGCGGCCAATAGGACATAGCTCGGTTACACTTTTTTTCTGTCTGTGTCAATTAAGGACCGGTCGTTGCATAAGGCATCATGGGTAAGTCATAGATTTATTATCCCGAGCACATACTTGGGTATGGGCGCAGGGAAGACTCGTTGCTCTCTTGTCGTGGATCCGGCTCTTTTCGGACCGACTGATTAGAGGCGGGGATGGTGGAGGTCCTTGCACCGCACTGAGTCAGGACTCAGAAGTGGGGGCTTGGAGTCCAAGTTTGGACGGGGACCTAGACACCCAGGACAGGAGGGTGATGGATTAGTCCTGCTTGTGCCTGGGGTGCAAGTGCGGCGTGTGTTTTCGGGGTACCCAGCTGGGGGCATTGATTCGCGAATCGCCGGGTGATCCGGTACGGCTTGTTTCGTGTCTAGCACCGTAGTAAGAACAGAAAGATGAAAGATGATGAAATGAAACTGATCGCTCAACTCTTGCTTGAAAGTAGAACTTGTGCTTATATAGACCGGATAGATAAGAACTTAATACGGCTGATAATAATAACATAAATAAGGACTCACTATTAGTATTGCTTTCTGCTAAAAAAAAATCAGCAAACCATAAAACTTATCATATTTCTTGGAGTCGGGAAATTATTTCCACTAGTCGAATAAGTCTTGCGAGTACACTGTGTACTCATGGTTTATTTACCCCTGTTGCAAGTAATGCATGAGAAGTACCTTTGTGTGGAGGATTCTTCTGGTGGGCTCAGACGGATCCTCGTTCTTATCGCTAGATGTTTATTTTAAATTCCGTTGTTTATCATTCCGCACTCCGACATTTGGTACTGTAAAAATGTAATTTTTAAGAAACTCTGATGTATAAAATGGACAAGTACTGTAACTCGTTCTTATTATTGGATCCTTGGGAAAAATGTGGATTTTTCGGGTTCTCCCTTGGGGTGTGTCCGACGGATACCGTCCGCTGTAGCTTGCTTTCGTGGTGTTTAGTGTCTGGCGGAAGACGAGCACCTCCGTAAACGTGTTATTTCGGGGGCAGTTCTGCCACAACAAGTTTTCCAGATGGATGTTTCAAGTGTTTCCTTTTTCTTCAGACGCATGTTGCAAAAGTTTTATCTAGATGTTTTGAGTAGATCAGATGTTGTACATGTTCCAATTGACTCACCTTCCACAGCCGCCTGCTGCAGCTGCTGGGGCACCGTGCAGGCGTGTGGAAAGTGGAGGGATGGAGGGTTGCGCGGCTGCGGGAAGTGACACGGACGTGCAGCAGCCACGGGCATCCATTCGGACATCTAGACGCTAATACTTCCCTTAAAATTGCATAATGATACCTTTAATATAAAATTAAATTCACTGTAACATAGCCTCAAAGCTGTAGGTCCTCTGGCACCTCTCTTGCCTGTGCCGGAGTCGGAGCCCTACAGTACCGCGTACAGTATGGAACAGTAGACTAGGAGCTGGAGCGCACCAGCTCCAACAAGGATCCCCTGCAGTCGGCCTCATCGACTGCAGTCGGCAGTCAGCGCATCCCACCGTCCACTCGCATCCAACGGCAGCTTCTAAACTCAGGTAGTAGGCCGCACGACATGTAGCCCAACGACCCATCTAAACTGAGTCAGGTTGCTTTTCCTCCGCCGCCGTCATCCTCGTCGAGCGACCCTGAGCTGCCGCCTTCCTCGTCGAGCGACGCGAGCTCCGTCGCCTTCATGTTCGGAGCGGACGCCGCGCTCGTGCTACCGCTCTTCCACTGCCTCCCTGAGTTCGCACAGGGCCACGGGTCCAGCAGGATGGATGGGGCGGCGGCGGCGGTGGTGGTGGGCAGGGGCAAGGCAGGACCGCAGGAGCATCAGGACCACCATGTTCGCCTCCAGTGTTGGTCCTCTGATGGCTCGCCGTTTTCGCAACTCTGCAGCCGAGTCCACAGTTGTTGCCCCTGACATATAGTAGCGACGCCGGGGGAAGCTGCGGCACCTTGCGACGCTCTTGATGACCTTGCCGTGCAGTCCTCACTCGCATAGCTCTAGAGATTACAAACAGGCTGTGCAGAGAATGGTCGGCGGCGCGGCCAACTGAAATGACAGCATCAGAAACTCTTTCGCAAACAAGACATTATCATTATTCAACAATATGTACATCCAGTCATTCACTTGGGCAATTCAGTGATCATATTCTCAAATTTCTAGTCACAGTATCACTTTAAAATCTCACAATCCTATCTAACAACTCTGTTTTAAAGTTTCAGCTCTGCTATTTACATTGCTGTGTCTGAACATCTGAACAGTATGACGAGCAGAACTGCAGAACCACGGCTGCCCTTCCCTTGGAATCCAGAATCACATGGAGAAGGATGGAGCGCTGGTGGTGCTGCATCTGTACCTACGCGAACTGCTGCTGCATCGTGTACCTCCACGTGGAGCAGTGGGAGGCGAAAACCAGTGCGGACCACGGAGGAGAGCACTTAGCCATGAGCCGAGGCGCGGTGCTAGACGGCGCGGACCACGGAAGCGAGCACTCAGCAACAAGTGGTGCCGCGGCGTACGGATGCTAGCGGCGGTGGCGTGGTGATAGACGCCGGCGGCGCAGCAGGCGAGTGAACCTGAGGCCGGGACTCGACGAGCTGTGCAGAGCGTGGGCTGTAGTTGGGCCGGACTAGCAGGTCGTGCGCGCATAAACTAGTGGCCAATGCTCGCTAGACGTCCGATCCTCAGTTGATGGCACAGATGACGTGACTGCAGAACGCAGTCGTTTCACGTGAGGTTAGACGATCTCGTTCCCCCTCAAACAAACGGGGCCGGAATTATCTGTATCAACTCCGTGCGCGTCGCGAACCCTGTATCCATAGGAACCCAAACCATTTCAGAGGTAGATAGAGAATTAAAGGAAAGAAATCAAGCCGTGCGAGTCGCGAACCCTGTATCAATCGAACTCCGGTTGACCGGTTCGTTCCCGAACTCCGTGTACAAAAGTTGGTGGAAACCCACCGCAGCGGCCCAGCGGCACCGAACCGACCGCATCCACTATTCGGCTCCCACAAGGCATGGAAGAAACGACTCGATCGCATCCTCCGCCGCAAGAAACGAGGCGCGCGGAAGAGGGCGATCGACAGCCGATGGCGGTGCCGGACGAGGCGGCGGTCGGCGACGGCCGGCCGGTGGCGATGAAGAAGTCGGCGTGGACCAAGGAGGAGGACGCCATGCTGCGGGAGCAGGTCCGGCTGCACGGCCCGCAGAACTGGGCGGCCATCAGCGAGGCGCTGGCCGGGCGCAACCCCAAGTCGTGCCGCCTCCGCTGGTGCCAGCACCTGAGCCCCATCGTCGACACCGCCAGGCCCTTCACCCCCCCAGGAGGACGAGAAGATCATCGCGTCCTACCGCATGTTCGGCAGCAAGTGGGCCACCATCGCGGGCTTCCTCCCGGGCCGCACCGACAACGCCATCAAGAACCGCTGGCACTCCGTCCTCAGCAAGGTGTACCAGCAGCAGCAGCGGGCGGCTGCACCCATCCGCCGCCTCCCCGACGGGACGTTGGTTCTGTTTCCTTTGACGCCGGGGGATGTCAAGGCGTTCGGCATGGACACCAGCCCAGTGCTCCGCCACCCGCCGCCCGGGGTTGATCTGAGCGGCGAGTGCCTGAACCTGTTTCCGCTGGTGACGGGGGATCTCGTCAGGGGCAATAAAATAATGCGAGCGAGGCGGCGGTGATGGATGTGGATTGCAGCACCGACGAATCGCTCGTCGAGCTGAGGCTCTGGCCGTCCACGAACCACGAGGGCGGCGTTCAGGGCGACGAATCGCTCGCCGAGCTGAGGCTCTGGCCGTCCACGAACCACGGAGGCGGCGTTCAGGGCGATGGTGCAGGCAGTTCGGGCGCCCTAGACTGTCTTGTATCTGCCTGAATTCTTGTTGTCCTGTGGTCCCTTGTTTGTCTTTGTTCTGAACTTCTGATTTTGTAACAAATTTCCATGACCGACTGAACTTGCGATGGAGGATAGAGGTTAGTACTCCATAATACAGTAGCTAGGAAGCAGGGAAAGTTTCGACGATGTTCTTGCAGTTTTGTTGTCTTCCAAGTTTCAATTCACAAGACTGCATTAGAGGAGGAATTGTACTGATGATTCGGTGATGTACCGGAGACTGAAATTGAAGTGCAGAGGGCCGCTTTATGCGCCATGGCTTTCAGATTCTGTGATTATTGTTGCTACGCGTATTATAACGTAGTAAAATCAAGAGTGAGTTACCGAGACTTTGATGGAGAGGTCATACGTTTATTTTACCAACAACAAGGATGACGACCACACCCACCCACACACCACCAACAAGTAAAATCAAGAGTGAGTTACCAAGGCTTTGATCCCTCGTAACAGCCATGCTTATCAGTTATGATAGAGTATTTTTCTCTCACAATAAAACAGCATCAGCCGGCTTATAAGCCACAGAAACGATCAAGCGAACAAGGTGATCATGTTTGGCAAATTCGTCCAGGATCCGTATAGGTTGTCGGGTTTGTAGGATAAAAAGAAACTAATTTTAAAACCATATATGTTTAAATCTAAAATAAGTACCGCAAAATAAATGAACTAAAATTTTAATCCGACTTGCTAGCGCTCCGACGTCAAGGGCGCTAGCATTCGGACGGTGTCCGCATAGGGAGGAGCGAGCGCCTAGCACGCTGGGCTCGCGAGTGAGCGCACCAGCAATGAGCTCGCACCGCCAGCCGCTTCCCACACACATCTCATGTGTAACACCCAATCTACTTTTGAAACATCTAGATTCAACATTTGCGATATACAAAAGAAAAGATAGATGAAATACTTGAAACAAGCGTCTGAAACACTTGCGAAAACGTCTAAAAAACTTTTGAAAACCATTGCAAACATATATAACATATGTAACATCCAGACGAAATACTTGTAAACATATGTATGAAACACCTGAAAACACTTGAAAAATATACTTGCAACATGCATGTATATGCTACATCCGGATCTATTTTTAAAACATCCAGATAAAAACACTTGCAACATACGTCTGGAACAGATAAAACTTTTGAAACATACACTTGAAACATGTGTATAGCCATTACAACATGTGCACAATCCCGATCTACTTTTGCAACATCTATATACAACACTCGCAACATACCTCCGAAACACTTGAAACATACTCTTGCAACATGCGGTTTTCACATTTCTTCTTCTGTACAACACAACACAGAGCGGGGGAATGGCCGATTCCGGCAAGCCGGCGGTCGAGGATGGTGGCGCGGCCTGGCAGCGGTCAGCTGTGCCTACACCTAGCCTAGGCCCAGCCAGCAACGCCACCTCTGTGGGGGTATAACCCCCGATACCCACAGGGATGTATATGGACCGAGCCGCCAGGGGAGGCCCAGCCCACGAGATCAAGCTGCTCGGCGCACGGCACAGGTCCGCGTGCACCGTGGGCTACGTGAAGATCCTTGACCATGAAGGAAAATATGTTCGGATATGCTAGATACCGCAGTCTTTGTAATCCTTATCATGTAAACCGATCAGGGTAGATTGAACTGACCTGTAACCCGACCCCCAAGCTATATAAGGCGGGTAGGGACCCCCTCGATCCTAGAGGGTCATAGATCCCGATATAAACCCTAGGCTTAGCTTAAGATCCCCAGATATCTCATCTCATAATACAATCTACCAAAGACACAGAGCGTAGGGTATTACGTCAATCTGACGGTCTGAACCTGCCTAAATCGCTACGTTCTGTGTCACCACCTAGTTCCCATCATACGCACCTCCACCGATTTATCTACTACCATGGGCATACCCCTCAGTAGTCTGCCGACTAGATTTCGTCAACAACCTCTCCTGGCCGCCTGGACACACGCGACAGCCAGCACCTGCGTGCCTGTGTGGCTACTGCTTGCGGGCACGAGCAGGCAGGGCCGCGAGGGAGGAAGAGGTAGTGATGGAAGGCGGTCAGCGGCGAAGAAGAAAGGCGAGCACGATGCCGCTAGCCACAAACGCCCCGCCCCAGGGCCGCGTCGGGAAGATGAGCATCGGTGTGGGAGAGAAATATGTCAGGTATAAACTGTTGAGTTATCTGTATGGACTGGATCCAATTAAAATAGCGTTCGATAGGAAGACATCCGAACGACCATGTAGGAGCATTTTTGAATTTTAATTCCCCGTAGCTCAAAAAACTCTTAGGGATGGTTGTCTCAAATTATTGGAGTCCATGTTATGCAAATATGGCTAAGCTATCAGTGTATCAAATTGCAAGCTCGTATCTATCAGAGTATCAGACCACCTAAAAAGGCACCGAAACACAAATCTGTGTGATTCAAAGTCACCAAGATTTGAGCTTTGTCAGGTAAAGTTGTAGTATTATATTGACGGAGAGGGAGAGATCATGTTCCCATAATGGGATTCTTAGTCGAACTGTATTGCATTTAAAAATATATTGAAAATAAAAAATGGTATGGAAGCCTGCCAAGAAAATATTTGTCTCATAGTCCTACATGTTATCGACTCAAGTGCTAATAATATAAATCGATGTAGTGAATGAGCAGTCCGCATTTAATTTCTCTGACTTAGATCGTGTTTGGAACCTCTTAAAATCAGATATGCGGTCGTCCCACCACGAGAATCAATGATTCTTTCCAACGCCGGAGACACAATGACCGCGAGATTGAACCACGCTCGCATTTTTTGTGTGCCGCGGGTCGCCGTACCGCACCATGCGGTAGCCACGCCACCGTCCCAAACGGTGGCGGACCCAGGAAACTTCACGAGCCTGGGCGACATTTACTGCACTGTGTGGTTCGCTGCTTTCCTGCCCCTGGGATTGACGGCAACAGCATGGGAAAAGTAATAGGCCTTAAGGGTCTAGTCGGAGGCAAGCCCAGGCAAGGGCTAGGGTCGCCGGGCCCTGGGTCCGCCTATGGTCCCAAGCATGGCCTTAACATAGATGTTCCTATTTTTCTGAATTTATTTTAAGATTTAACGGGGCTATTATTGCATATCATTAGTGAGATGTGTGTGATGACTTATTGATCCTTGAGATTTGTCGGCTCATATTTTATGATGTGTAAAAAAAAAATCGATGTGACATTCCGGGTAGCAAATCACTGAGTCACACTAGCGCATTAGATAAAATGCCACCCTTGAGATTTATCGGCTCATAATTTCTGATGTGTAAAAAAGAAGAAGATATAAATCGATGTGACGTTCAGGGTAGCAAATCACTGAGCCACACTAGCGCATTAGATAAAATGCCACCCTTGAGATTTATCGGCTCATAATTTCTGATGTGTAAAGAAGAAGAAGATATAAATCGATGTGACGTTCAGGGTAGCAAATCACTGAATCACCCCAGCGCATTAGATAAAATGCCACCGGCTAATATCTCTCGATATATCTCTCATTTGGCAACCTTCCAAAATGCGTTAGGGCTCGTTCGGTTAGCCCGAAATCCACTCAGAATTCGTTTAAGCTGATTAAAGGTTATATAAATTAGCCAAGCATTCCAGCCACAGTTAAATAGAAAAAAGGATTAAATCCTGTATCATCTTTTATTTATCCCCATACATGAAAACTCAAAACAAGTATCTATATATACAACGCCCTATATGTAACCAGTAACCACACAGGCAACCCAATCCTCGATCGTATGGCTTTCTCGGCTTCTGTCGTCCAAGTCTCCGCCGCCGTCGTCTTAGCCGTTCTCTTCGCAACGGCCACCGCGGCAGGAGCGAACAATGCCACTGTGACCACGAACACCGCAGCGATGGCGGCGCACCGCGGTGGTGTAAACTCCACCGCGGCGTTGCCAGCGTCGACGGCGGCATCCAACGGCTCGCTCCAATACACCTGCTACCTGTGCCACAAGCGCAAGAGCCTGATGATCGAGTCCTGTTCGCTTCTCTTATAATTCGTACTTTTCAGCTTGTTTTTCAGCCGGAACAGTATTTTTCTCACGCAACAAATCAGCCGGAACAGTGTTTCGGTTTATTTTTTCAGCGAAACGAACAGGGCCCAAGTGGTGCCCCATCGCGAAGGACGGCTGCCATGCCACGTCGCCTGCGTGACGCTGCCGACCCCTTCCACGCTCTCCCCTCCGCCCCCGGCGGCAGCGGCAGGTACGCCGACGACTGCTACGTCATGAAGGTGTACCCCGACGGCAGCTGGGTAGTCGTCGACATGGTCAGCTGCCGGCAGGCCGCCCCGGTGTGCTACCTCACGTGCAATGACGGCGACGAGCCTAGCCTGGATGGGGCCGCCGGGACCACCCCTGCAGCTGCAGCGCCGAGGGGCGCGCTGCCGTCCCTCCTCGCCGACTTCGAGCGGTGCGGCGACCATGCCACAGCATAGGGCGCCGCCGTCCCAGCCATTTACAGCATGTTCGGAAGGCCGTATCGTATCGTGGATTATTTACTAGCTGGCTGGTTTGGTGTGAAAAAAAACACTGTTCCCGGCTGAAAATTTACGATCGTTTACGAGCAAGCGAACATGCTGTTAGCACTAGCAGTAGGCTAGTAGTAGCCACGCCACGATGATGCATGCAGTTGTCAAAATGTCCGGTCGAACAGCGTCACGTTCGGATGGCTGAAAAAACGGTTGACACTGATGCTAAACACTGCTATTTTTCTGAAACGATACGGCAGATAAGTTGAAACGAACAGGGCCAGACTTTTTTGTCCCGTGCGTGTGCATCTCTACGTGAGGCCCGCCCATGCCGTTGGTCACATAGTTTGTGCAGGGAACAATGTTCAGAAGAGTGATGCTCGCAGCTCTCGCTAGAAGAAGGAAAGACGATAGACGGTCCATAACTGATGTTCGTCGGAGAATCGAATCCAATTTCTTCCTTCTTCAGATAACAAAAACATTTTGCTACAAATAATCCTTTCAGATTTTTATACACACAGTGCTTCAAACAAAAAAAATACAGTCTGCAGCACACCAAGAGTCCAAGACATCCATCTGCTTGCCTTGATTTCGAGGAAATTAGATAGTACATGAAACAACAAAAAGGGCGACATCATGTCATAATCCCCCGTTCTAAATTATAAGTCATTTTGTCTTTTCTTTAGCAATGTAGATATCGGGTTTATAAACTCGGGGTCCCTCACGGACCGGCTTCTCAACAAAGGCTCGGCCCAGCAGACAACGTTGCAAACGACGCGCAACTCATTTGCCGGCCCAAACACCTAAACGACATGCCAGAAGGACAATCCAATCTCCGACCGGAAGGCCTGTCCGAGGAGGAACGACACCCACTTTCGACTCCGGTCCGCCTCTCCGACCGGAAGGCCTCACAAAGGAAGAACAACGCTCGCTTCCAACACCGGCCCACCTCCGGACGGCCTCTCCGACCGGAAGGCCTGGCCAAACATCACTTTCCGACTCCGACCCACGTCTCCAACTGGGGATGCGCCGAACCCCTACTTACAGCTCTTTTTCAACTGGCGCAATCAGAGCCGACTGGAATCAACCGACCGGGGACACCCGCTCGGTGAGGACCAGAGAACGGACGGAAAAAGTGAGGCAGGACACCTAAGTCAGCCGCAATACCGAGGAACGTACCATGTACACATGCAGGACAGTACCGCGACCTCCCTGACATAACAGAACGCAAACAGTGTTGTAGGCGCCGACATTTCCCCTACAGTGTTGTGGGCGCCATCAACTCTCATACCAGACAAACACGGTAAGGCTCCCCCCACGTGTCTCTGAGGCATCAACAGTGTTATGGACGCCGACATTTACCGTACCAGGCAAACATGGTAAAACCCCTTGCATGCCTCTGGATATCAACAGTGTGGCAGTCACTGACGTCTGCCATACCTGAAGAAGACGACGCTACCTCCCACGTGCATCTGACATTAACAGTGTTATGGACGTCTACAATCATCCTGTACCCGATAGCGTGGGCAACAAGACTTAGCATACGTACACTCTCTCCCTCTCACTTGTAAGGTTATCCCCTTCATCTATAAAAGGGGATGCGCTCTCTCCCAAACATATAGATCGATCGATTCATAACAACTCGAACACCGCACACAACAGGAGAACCACTAGGTTCAAACCTCGAGCACACGCGTCAAACACTTAGCACATAGCGGAACTTCCGTCACTCTCGACCCTTCAGACCGGAGTCCGACCGGACCTCTTGTATCCCTGTCTTTCTCTCTTTCGTTTGTAACCCCACAGCAAACTTCGAGCACCTGAGCTCAGAAATAAAGTCACCGACCGACTCAAACTGGACGTAGGGCACATTGCCTGAACCAGTATAAATCCTGTGTCATTGAGTGTTAGGCCACCTCGAATCGGGACGTATAGCAAAACTATAAATATTTATGTGTTGATCACTTTCTGCACCGACAGTAGATGTAAAAAACAAGTCAAAGCGTGGAACGGAGGAAGTAGTATACAGTACTCGTATGAAACAAGATCGATCATTGAGCCGGCTATAGGTGAAGAGGTCACCTCGCTTACCAGGATTCCAGGCTACAAACATCCCAAATTGGCGATTCGGTGGTTTGTTGTTTCGTAAACCGCAATGAGCTTTCAACGACAACCATTCCTTTCCGCATTATCCACGACCACGCCAACTAGCTACAGATGGGGGCTAATGAGATAAGAGCCTGGCACTCTCTCCGTAAAAAAAAAAATGTTGTTTTTTATTTTCAGACATGTTATTTGACCATCCGTTTTATTTTTTTTTATAAATATCATCTATTTTGTTATGGGTTATTTTATCATTAGAGATACTTTAATAATAATTTATTTATTTTATAATTTAAAAACGTTATTCTTTTTAGACCGAGGAAGCAGATCTCATGGCCTGAAAAACATTCAGGGCCGTACGTGAAAAGCGTTGCCACGCGGTCCAGAGACCAGAGTCGAGCTCGACCAGGCAATCCAAACGCAGTCAACCACACACGCAGAGTCTTTAGGAACAGCTTTGTCCTTTGTAGATTGCTCTGCGAATGACGTTGCTAGCTAGCGAGATGCAATAAGTAGAGTAGCATCACTCCAAAATGTTAACACAGCCAAATTCAGGAGCTCGATTGCTTCTAAAGTGAGAATTAAACTGGTCAAAATTAACTGCAAATTGGTAGCAGGCATTCATGCTTCCCCGCAAAAGTCCAAGAACAAGCAAGTACTATTAGTTCGCCGCTACGCCCACATCTTCGCATCAACACGCACCATCTCTCTCTATTTGCCCCAGATGCCTCTCTCAGCAGCTTCCGTCCTCCATGCCTTCCTCCTCACCCTTCTCCTCGGCGCCATGGCCTCCGTCCCGCCTGGCGACGGCGACCTGAACCCGTCGACGATGTTTACCAACGGCACGGAGACGTCCCCCATCGCCGACGACACGGAGAGATACATCTGCTACCTCTGCACGGGCCGCAACCCGTTGCTGATAAGGTACTGCCCCATCTACTGGGACGAGTGCCACCTCGTCTGCTACGCCGACGATGCCCCCGCCGCCACTGCCGCCGCCATTCCCGCCGTTCCCGTGCCGACGGCGGCGCTGGGGTCGGCGCCGGCGGCGTCGGCCAACCCCAGCGGGGTGAAGGACGACGAGTGCTACGTCATGAAGCTGTACCGGAACGGCAGCTACGCCATCGTCACCCGCCTCGGCTGCGCCCGGATCGCCACGTGCCTCCTCTCCTGCGGCGGCGGCGACATGGCCGACAGCGACAGGAAAGCCCTGGGCACCGCGACGACCGCAGCGGCGCAGACGACGACGGCTGCGGTCCAGGGGAGTTTAACGCCCCGACTCGCGGATTTCCAGCGGTGCGGCACGCAGGTCACTGCGACGCCGTCCCTGCGTGGCGCCGTCGTCCGGGCTGGTGGTGCGCGGCGACGGCGTTAGCTCTGTTGGGATGGTCCGATCTCCGATGGATGGACGCGTACCGCGCGTGTGCGATGCTGCATCTGCATATGCGGCCATGCGCGAGTGCGTGTCAGGTCGCGCGCGTAGTTTGTGCCGGTAGCGCTTTTGCGTCCAAACCCGCTTCTTAGAAGACGTGATAAAAGCTGAGAGATTAGCTACTGTATCGAGCATTTGCTTTGATTTGATCCCGATAAGAAAATTTCGTCCAACAGCTCCCAATCTATCTGTCCGTGCGTTTTGAAAAAAGAAAAAAAGAAACTCTGTCGCTAGTCCATATCATGGGGTGGCGATTTATTTTTCTTCAAAACTCTGTCGCTCCTAGACGCTCGGCTCACCGCTGCGCGGTTTACCAGAACTGAATAGAATACCCAAGCATTACCTTCAGATACGGGAATACTAAGAAGTAGATTATGCAATGCATATTTCATTCTATAGGTTACAGACTTTAAGTTAGGTAGTCGAGGGCGGTCACAAACGTCCCGCTGCCACTTGGAAGATTCGCCGAAATTAGATCTCCAGTCACTGTTAGGTTGTTTGATTGCTTGTATACGATCGTGGATTATAAGCTGGAATAATATTTTTCTCTCACACCAAATCAGCTAGCAGTAAATAATCCACGATCGTTTACGACGAAACGAACAGGCTGTATGTTCAGGATCTTAGAATACTGAGAAGTAGACCAGACAGTATGGAGATTCTATTTAAGGCGGTTGCAACTTAGACTTAGGTGTCGGGATGGCGGATTGTCAAACGACCGACGACATATTTGATGTGGCACGTGTGGTAACAAAATCCCCAAGTAAGCCTACTTTTTTTATTTTTAGGCGTAAATTGTTGAAAACACGGTTGATGGTTGTTGGATTATATTTTTCCTAATACTTATTGAAAAGGTTGCTAAACCAGATTTTTGGATTATTTTTAGGTACTACGGGAGATGCTCTAATAAGTTGTGAAATGTTAACATGGAGTGCGCTTTCTGGTCCCATTGCACCCAAGTAATTTTGGTATCATGTATCAAGTTCACTTACATTGCACCCAAGTAATTTTGGTATCATGTATCAAGTTCACTTATATTGTTCTTCAGTTAGTAAGTGGGATATATTCAAAAGAATCTCCAAATCACGTGCTCTCTCAGAAAATCCAGGAGGACTGGAGGAGGCATCCCTTCGGATAGTTGTAGATGCTAAACACGGCTAATCTAACCTTAAAGGTGTGAGCACTTGAGCGTTCAGATTGTGTTGCCTTTCCTATTGTTTGTATAGAGTCACACATCACTCTTTTAGATTTTTCTACTTTTTAATAAAACCAACATCTTTCCTGCCGTTGAAGGGCCTGTAGGTTATAAGAGTCTCAGTAGCACATCAGCTTCTGGGTTTGACTCCTCGTGGGAGCGAGTATTACAGGATTTAACGGTATTGTGCTTTCAGTGGTAGACGATGTTCTCATCGACAGCGAGAGTCTGTGGCGACTTCATCAATCTCGATAATTAAAATAGCTTCTTATGATTCTGTGAAGTGGTTCTCCATCGTGATTTTGAGAGTTTACGCTAAAGAATCAAAGAGAATCACGTCTAGTCACAAAATCACTTCTCTCAAATAATCAAACCCCAAGGAGAATCAGAATCAGACAGAGCTCTACCAAATATACCCTCAAATTCAAACACGATCAATCGTAGCCTGAATTAGTAATCTCTTTGTCCTTTGTATATTGCTCACTACTTCCTTTGTTCCACAGTGAAAGACATTTGAGAAGTTAGGGTCATACCAATGCTATTGACAAATAACCATTTGCCCCTCCAAAAAGTTAGCCTAAAGCATTTTTTCTTTGTGGGTTGGACTGAAAAGTACATAGATGAGATCCACATGTCTTCCTGTAGTGATCTTTTTTACGGGACAAAATTTAAATGTTGTTATGACATTTTTTATGGAACGGAAGGAGTACCGATTATATGTGACGATATAATTAGCGAGAAGCGAGTAGAATAGGATCACTCTAAAACTCTAAGAGCATCTCCATGAGTCGTTCTAAAATTCACTCACTAAATCATCATTTGAAGAGTCATTTAAATAAAAATTGCTCTCTATTTTTTTGCACCCTAACACTTCTTTATATCTTGTAGACACTCTAGATAGTCATCTTTGTTCTTCGTCTTTGGCTAGTAATAAATCCAGAATAGAGAATGACTATATTTGAAGATCTAATTAATTAAATTCTTGGAGGCTATTTGTTTCATCAAAAACTCTATTTCTATCAATTAGGAAGGGTATAAAGAGTCTTTTAGTGCATCTCCAAGAATCTTTTTCTGAAACTCACTCTCTAAATCATCATTTGGAGAGTCATTTGCATAAAATTCACTTTCTATATCTTTTCACACTCTAACAACTTTTCTATATTCTATGTGTACTCTAAAGAGCTATTCTTTGACTAGCGAGAAATCTAAAACAGACAATGACTATATTTGGACAACCGATTAAAGAAGTTGTTGGAGGGTGATTTTTCACCATCTATTTCTAACAATTAGAAAGGTTATAGAGTCTCTAGGAGCTGTTCTTAGAGTTTCTACAACGGAGCCAAACGCAGGACCATTTAGATTTGTCGGGGTCATAACTCCGGGGTGTCTCAAGGCATCGATTAGTTAGCAGGCCACGTGGCCCGCAACATACCTGCTAGCAAAGGCCCCAACGACCAAGGCCCAGCTGAGCCAAGCAAACCAGGCCAGACGCTAAGGCCGGGGTCAGCTACAACCCCTTCCTCCTGCCTTAGCCGCACGATGCTTGAAGGGCGCACGACCTCTCCCCCGTCACAACCCCTAGAAGGAACAGGGAGCGGTCGAGCACAGCCAAGCATGCTTGCTCTGATAAGAACAAGCACGATGCACTGACCCCGCAAGGACTGAGGGAACAACAGTCACCTCGGACCGGCTAGACACCACTCCCTGTGCCACATTGCACAGATAGGACAACACCGCCTGGTGGTGACAACCAGTACGAAGCCCACCGTCCAAATATGGACCGACAAGACGTGGGTACGATCCCACCCACTACAGGATGGGATCCACTACGAGAGCCTTGACTTAGAGGCCATCTAGACTGGCGGGAACCACGACCTCGACGATTGGGATCATGGCTCCCAGCTCCTCAAGCCAACAAGGCGAACGATGACCTGGGGGCGGCTACCTACTCTCATACGACACCCTAGGAAACCAGGAGATAATGACGAAGACCACGGTGGAGACCACGTTGCACAGGACGGCTGGCGAACCACCATCGTGCCTACAGTGTTGTCACGGTTAGCACTGTAGCACAACACCACACCATACCGCGACATGCCCACAAGACCATGATGACAATCACACCCGGACATGTACCTCAAGACGGCGTAGCTTGCAAGCTAAGTTAACTAGGCCCTCCCTCAGGCTCACGACCCTTCGGTCGGGAGAACTAACTGCTTTGTATATGCCCTGGCCCCGAACTCTATAGAAGGGCGGCTACGGCACCCATCTCAGGGACATGATTCACATCCTCTATCTTTAGGCAGCCCATCTCCTAGCTCTAGCTCTTCTTCCTCTTCCACCATTCTTGCACCCCCCATTGTAAGAACTTCAGAGCATTCAAGCGAGGAACACGCACTCGATCATCTCTAAGACTGGACGTAGGGCTTCAGCCTAAACCAATATAAATCCTCATGTCTTTTGGATGCTACTATCGTCTTTCTAAAGTAGCGCGGTAATCGTATAAATTTACTAGTCCGATTTACAAAACACCGATAGTTGACGTGCTAGGTAGGGGATAGTCACGCACTCTCGTTTGTTGAGCAGGAAGCGATGGCTCCTCGCACCGTCGGTGGACTCGCTCATGGAATGGCCCACGGTGGCCACATTCGCCATGAAAACCACGAGTTCACCGACGTCCAAGGTCTAGCTCCCACGTCCGCCTACAACCATGGCCCAAATGTCCGTCATGGAGATTTGGGTCACGTGGCCCGCGGCAGACACACTCTTAGAACTACCCTCTACGGCAGCATCCTAGAGTTCACTTACGAAGGGGGGCCAGTACCCTCAGTCGTCGCTGGCCATGGCCAAGTCTTCCGTCTAAGAAGCCAGAAGCCCACGGCTTATGACAAACTCACCTAGGGAATGGCCTCAATCGGCCACATCCTTTTGGGAAACCACGAGGTTATCCGCACGAATGGGTCAGCACCCATCACCAGCTCCTACCCCGTCTAGGCCAACCACGTGGAAAACCTAGGTCTAGCGGTGGAACCATGCCCCGAACAACGTCTCCACAACCAGTGGGATGCTGTGTGTCAGGGCATGCACGAATGATGAAATTACCCGCCGCCACGCGGCGACGTCGTTAGTGGTAAGGTGGCTACCCGACGCCCTGACTCGAAAGGCCAAGCCTAGAACCAGAGCCAGCCCTGGTTGATGGACAAACCGCCTATCATGACTCAGCAGACTACCAACCGTCGCTCAGAGGCGCGTGCATCTGAGGAAATGGGTGCCCTAAACGCACTGCGTGCCACGTCGAGTGGACCAAACCACGTGGCTTTTAGATCCCATTTCCACAGCGACAGGTCGCGCCAGCCCCTCATCGAGAATGGCAACCATACCCAGAGGTAGGGACACAATGGTCAAGACATCGTCGTGCCATGAAGGCTCGAACATCAGAGCGCACAGTGCCTCCCGGCCAGAAGCTACAGCAGTCTAGACACGAAGAGGACGCCCTTAGGGGCTCACAGGCCCACCGAGGATGTTGGACCAGTAAAGGCCAACCCAAAGCTAGCCGAGAGGTCAATCCACACCGGCTACGTCCACTCCAAGCATTAAAGAAGCATCCTCATCAGCTCAGGGCCCAAAGGCCATAATGACTTCATCACAAGCAGACGCTTGGGGGCTCGCCGCACCCTGAGCAATAGCAACCAATCCCATGACAGCTTCTGGTACATCAGCCAGTCACATCCACTCTAACTCTAACCTC